TACCACAGACTGTGTACAAATTAGTCCAGTCATGTTGATTCCCTTAGTTGCAAAACAACACCAAATCAAACGTTAGATGGCTTAAATATCGAAACAAGGTGATTTTCTTAATTTTGGTCTCATCTTGTTGAACGTATGTTGACTGTAAAAACAAATTTTTTTGCTGAGCAAAATATTAAAACTTTATTAATTATTATATTCATGGTTTAAAAGTAGAACAAAACGAATGGTCAAAACTGTTAAGGCTGATTTACTTGTTAATCTATAAGACCTGAATACAATTCATTGACATCGATCTGTCTTTTTTAGGCGAATATTGCGTTAAAATGCTTTTTTGTAATCTCATGAGTTAAGTACGTTCAGATTTTTACTCAAAAAAATGCTGTAGCTTTCAAATTATTAAATATCAGAGGACTCAGGTAAATTGAAAATATATGCTAATGAGTCGTTACATTTATCAGAATTCCAAGTAAGCTAATTTTAAAGAACATTTTAACCATCTTATTTTATATAATATCAATTTTTTAAATGCTCTGTTCAAATATTTCGTTTTTCCCGACTAACAGTACCCTCTTGTTTAAGATAAAACAGAAGTACGAATTACGTCGTTTTTTATGTAGAAAATTATAGTTTTATAATCATAAATAAAAGAATTACGTATTCACCAAATCAACGTTATCGTAACCATATAGGTCTAGTTTGAATATCATGATATATACACTTTTTTGTTGTGAGAAGTGTTATAATTAATGAAAAGCTTCTATTGTAAGAAAGTTGTAGTATTTATTTACATTGAGTACATTGTTTAGGCTTATGCAGATCGTAAAATTGCATTTTTTTGCTGAGCTGAATATTATAATTCTTTTAATCCCAATATTTAGTTGGTTTGAAAGAGAAAAAAAAAGAATTGGTCAAATCTGTTAAAGCTGATTTACTGGATAATCTATAAAACCTAATTACACTTGATTTACAACGCGACATATCTTTTCAGCAAAGATGGCGAGCTTCTTTTGGATCCCAAAAAGAAAATACGTTTTTATATATACTAAAAAAATGCTGTCAGCTTTCTTATGTTTAAGATTCAGAATACATAAGCAAATTGCAAGTGTATACTAATAAGTAGTCACTTTTATCCGAATTCCGACTAAGCAAACTGGAAAGAATATTCCAACTATCTTATTTCGTGTAATATTGATCCTTAGAATGCTCTATTCAATTATTCGTCTTTCCCAAAAAACAGTACTCTCTTATTCAAGATGAAACAGTAATCTTTTATAACGTCGTTCTTATTTAAGAAAATTATAGTTTTAAAATCATTAATAAAAAAATCGCTCAATCTCAAAAACATCGTTATCGTCACCATATACGTATAGGTTTCTAGCACAAAAGACCGTATACAACATAATTCTTTTTTTTTCAATGCATTATTTGCAAAACATAACACCGAACCTAGTAAAATGTCCAATGAATTTTATTTTGATACAATTTAAATAACTTTGTCATCTTTTAACACTCATTATAGTATTTCATATTTAAATTGGTATAAGGGATTGTTTGTATGATATAAAAAGTTTGAATTATAAAGAAGTTGTAGTGATTCTTTAACTAAGTTCTAATTTTCTACACTTATGCCAGCGGTAAGTTGCATTTTTTTTGGCTGAAGTTCATAACCTTATCAAACCTAATATGCACATGGTCCAAAAGAAAATGTAAATAAATGGGTTAAAACTAATGATGTTGATACATTCGTTGATCTATTCGTTTCCGTCAAAATACTTAATTCATGCCTTTTTAGTTTAAGACATGTTTAAATCTATTAAAAAAATTTTATTAGATGTCTAATTTCTAATTTCTATATTACTTGGTCAAATAGCAAGTGTATTGTCATAAAAAGTATTTTTAATTAGGGTTGTACATAAGCAAAGTTGAAAAAAGTATCAGTCAACCTATTGCGTATTAATAATAATCTGTAAATTCTTCCACTCAATTTTATGTTTTTTCAAACAAACCGTACATTCTGATTTACGCTTAAACAGTTTTCACCGAGAACGTAGCTTTTAAGTTTTTGAATTAAAAAGCTTTTAATTGTATAGAAGTTGTAGTAATTTTTAACTAAAAAATAATTGTCTACAGAAATGTTGACCGTAGACTGCATTTCATATTTGTACAGTAAATTGAAACCTAAAAATTTTTTAATATTGACATGTTTCACAAGTCACAGCAAATAAATTGGTCAAAACTATTAAAATTTACTTATTCATTCACCTATAATACCTGTATACACTTGATTGACAACGCGCCGCATTTTTTTAACCAAAGTTATCGTTGAAATACTTATCTTAGATCTTGTTGGTTATGTACTTGTTAATATTTACTTAATAAAATACTATTAGCTTTGTAATGTCTAAGTTTCAAAGGATTCGGTTTAATTTTAAGGGTACGCTAATAAGTGATTACATTTATTTGGATTCCATATATGCAAATTAAAAAAAAATTTCAGTCATCCTATCTGGTATTTATAATAATTCTAACAATCCTCTATCTAAATATTGTGTTTCTTCAGAGAAACAGTACCCTGTTTTCATAATAATAATTAAAAAATTACTCAATCGTCCAAATAACGTTTTCATCACCATATAGGTTTAGTACCCTAGCACTGAAGACCGTAAAAAATATGATTTTATAACTTTAAATACCTAGGTTGCAAAATATGTCATCATGCTGAGTTGAAAGTCTGATGGCTCTTATTTTTATACAATTTGATTATCTTTGTTGTCTTTTCATGTAAATCGTTGTAATCCTAATACGATTCGGCATTGAGAAGTGAAAGTATTGTAAAAAATGATTTTTATTGTAAAGAAGTTTTATAAATTTTTTTTCTTAAGGTAACCACCTTCTTCCGGTTCTTTACCCATACACAGCACTTTATTTGTAATGATGGATAAGGAAGGTGTTTGACATTTATTAACGAAGAAGTTTATTCTATACAGTAAAGGGGTATTTTAGGTGTAAAAAAGTATTGATTTTTTAGTTTTGCATACTGCATCTTCAGATAATGTTAACTATAGAGATGGGCTCAATAAATTTCAACAAATTTTTTGTTTTACATCTGATTTTGATTTTTAAAAGTTTGTTCTGATCCTTGAATAATTTCAAATGAAGTTAACGAAAAAATTTTTTAGAATATTTTACATGTAAATACTTATGTACTATTGTTTATAAATAATCGTGTCAAACGTATAAGCAATAGTACATAACTTTTTAAACATAAATAATTCTTAAAAATTTCTTCGGTAACTTTCTTTGAAATCTTTCAAGAAACAAAACAAGCTCTGAAAAATTAAAATTGGATA